GCTCCAGGCTCTGAGCTGTCAGCACAGAGGCCCACACGGGGCTCAAACCCACAAATGGTGAGATCATGACCTGAGCCGAGCGAAGTCCGACGCTTAACTAACTGGCCACCCAGGCACCCCAACAACTCTTTTTGAGAAGTCGAGAAGACTAGGCATGGGACCACCTGCAACAGGAGTAAGATGTGGGACAAAGGTGGGGGTGATTTTAGGAAACCTAGAAGCTGAAGAAATGATCCAATAGTCAAGGCATGATGGGTGCAGGAAAGAGGGGCCGCCTCTCAAATCCTGGAGTGGGCAAGAGCTGCAGGCCCCAGGGAAAAAGCAGGAGCGGGTGACGTCAAGGGCCATTCGTGCTTTGCACCCCCCGCCCCCACCACCGGGGAGCAGGTATGGATTCTGTGGATTTAGTGACCGCAACGTGAAGGACAACGTTGCCTTGTTCTCTGACGAACGAGGCAGTTTGACTTGAAAGGCCTGTCTGCGTCTACATTTCTCGAGCACGAAAAGGTTGAGGAAAATTGAAAAAGTGGAGGTAACCCACTTAGCAAGGCCGCACACTTCCGGCAGCAGGCTGTTTCTGGAACTCCTCCTCCCCAGCCTGCTCCCGCCTCGAGTCCCACGACAAGCCCCACCCAACCCCACCAAGTCCCGAGCCACTGCCAGTCCCGACCACCCGCGTGGCCCATCTCCCGCGCCATCCCACGCGCGCCCCCGGCGCCCCGTCTTGCCACAGGCGTCCCCTTCACGCGCCTCCTCCTGATCCACTTCTCCCCGCCAAGGGGCTCCATCTCTCCGAGCGCGGCACCGCCCCATCTTCCATCATGCTCACACACATCCGGCTCCGGGAGTCCCTGTCACGTGCCCATCAAGTTCCGCGCATGCCCTCCACCTGCCCGGTCACGCCCCACGCGTCACTTTCACGAGCCTGGTCCCGCCCCGCGTGTTCCCGCCACGTGCCCCATCAGGCACCACACTGCCCCATCACGTGTCGCACGTCCCATCACGTGATCCACCACGCACCACCGGAGGCGCCAGGGCAGTTGGCAGCTGTTGGTGCGAAACGTTGAGCGCCTCCTCGCGGCCCCTGGACGCCACCGGCGGGAGTGGGCGGCGGGGTATAAAGGGGGTGGCTGGGCCACCGCCAGGTGGAGAACGAGGGGTTGAGGGCTCGTGCGCGTCGGCAGGCCACGTGGCGATGGGGGGCAGCGCGCGGAACCCGGGGGCCCTGCAAGGGGACAACGCTTCCAGCCAGGTGAGAGGCTGGGCTTTGGGGAGCCACGGGCAGGGGGTGCCGGAGTCGGGGTGCAGGCGGGGCGCTCTGAGGTTTTGTGTTTCTCCCCGCAAGTCTCCATACCAGAGGTTAAGTCGGAGGATGCGCGACATTTCCGGGGACCGGGGCGTGTTGAAGGATGTCATCCGAGAGGGTGCTGGAGAGCTGGTGACACCCGATGCTTCCGTGCTAGGTACCGTCATCTGCCACCCAGCAGGAGATGTGAAAGTACCGGTCATCAAGTGTTTTCTGCTTTATACCTAGAAAGGTGGGAGGGAAGGCTAGGTTTAAAACACACACAAAAGAAGGGTAGACCCCCGCTCGCTTTATTACGATTCGGGCTTTTAAGGGAAAGCGAGGGAACCCATCTCCCCTTTGCATGAGGCCAGTGTAAACAAGGGACATTCTGAGGCCCTTGAACCTCACAACCAAGCTCTTGAATCTCACAGCCAAAGGGCAGGCATCTAAATGTTGACCAAAGATTTTCCTATCACTGCGGGTGGGAGGCGACTTGAGCACATCGAATTCCCTTTTTTTTTGTAACAGAGAATTGATATGGAGGGGTGCATGTTCTTGATTTTCCTTGTATTTTTTTTTCCTGTCCTAGTGAAATATTCCGGATATCTGGAGCACATGGACAAGCCTTTTGATTCTAATTGCTTTAGGAAAACTCCTCGCTTGATGAAACTTGGAGAGGGTAAGTTGAGATTAGCAACTACAAAAGGAGGAATTGTTTGGGGAAACTGTTCAGAGCCTGGAGTCCTTGAGTTGGTTTTTCTGAGACCGGGCTTTGCTACACCAATCATGGTCTTGTCCGCATTTCCCCCTGAGGCCTAGGTACTTGGGAGATGGTTTACCTGGCAAGGTTACCTTTGCATCCCAAGAACTATTGGGCTTGTTCATTTGTCAGCTGGACACTTAAGCAAGGGTTTAGTATCCATAATTCATGCTGGAAAGAGAAGAGATACTCAGATGATTAGAATATCTCCACTAACGTAGTGGAAGAGATTGATTGCATTCACAGAATTGGATGAGGTCCTGGGAGGTGTAAGTAGTGTTGCAGGAGTGTTTAATGAAGCCACAATTGATTCCAGCTGGGAAGATCAGGGAAGGCTTCATGAAGGAGGGGGTATGTAAAATGAGCCTTGAGGTTTGAGTAAGATTTCAGTCAGGGTAGAAGCTGGGTGTGGGGTGAGGAAGCAGGAACTTCCTTGCAGGAAGAAGGAACATGAGCAGTGATGTAGAGGCCACGGAAGTCTTGGTTTGGCAACGGTGGGGGTGGCGGGGAAACAAAACCGAAAAGTGAGTTGGGACCACAGTGCAGAACACTCGGAGTCTGTTGTGGAAAGATCTGGACTTTAGGAAGAAAGAAATTGATAACCTTGGATTAGGATGCTGGGCGAGCTTCAGATTCTTTGTCCCTTCTTCCAGATATTACACTTTGGGGCATGGAGCTGGGCCTTCTGAGCATGCGGAGAGGAGAGCTGGCCAGGTTTCTGTTCAAACCAGCCTATGCCTATGGAACGCTGGGCTGCCCTCCCTTGATCCCCCCAAACACTACTGTCCTGTTCGAGATTGAGCTGCTTGACTTCCTGGACTCCGCTGAGTCAGACAAGTTTTGTGCCCTTTCAGCTGTAAGTTCTGGAGCACAGATATCCATACTAACAGATAGCATGCGCTAGTGTGTTTGGTAATTCCCCTACCTCGATCGTGATAGTCTGCCCCACGTCCCACCACAAGGCTCCTGTGTGGCAGTGGTAGTGGTGGCGGAGGAGTTCCCCCGCTTCCTGGTACACCTCTGAGTATGGGCAGATGTTCTAGGCCAATGCTGGGCCTTGGGTTTGTTCTGGACCCGCAGTTTGAGGTGATTTTTTTTAGTCCTCATTTGCCTCGTTTTCCCTGCAAGACCATGAACGTTGGCTTCTCAACATTAAGTTGGGTTTCTAACAAGTCAAGCATCGGTAGTGATCAGCTAGGGTGAAATATGGTTTCTTGGCCAACCCCGGATACTTGATAGCAGAAGAGAGTATTAACTAGATGGAATACCAGGACGTCAGGTGTAGATGGGGAAAGTCCCAGGCAAGTGGGAACACATGACCGCTGCCCTCATAACTCAGATGTTGTCTTTTCTTTGTGGCCTCTCACTTCACCCATCCCGTGGGTGCCATATGCACTCTCAGTCCTGCTCTCCCACCCTGTATGTGTGTCCTTAGATGTCCCTCCAGGTTTGTACCTGGATATGATGTCTCCCCAGCTAAGCTGTCATTGCCTCAAGGGAGGGCCCTTCCCTTTTTCTGACCTTCCCATAAAACTGGTTCTTGCAAATGCCTGGGGCCCCACCTCTGGTGTACTGATTGAGAATCTCAGTGGGGGAAGGGGTGGATAGGGCCAGGACATCTGTGTTTAAAAAGAGACTTCGTGGGTGATTGACCTGTACCCAGGGCACAGCATTGTGGCCATGAAGGCCAGTAGGGCCCCGGGCAGACCAAAATCTCTTAAATGTTTGTTGGACAAATGGTGGTTGTGAGACCCGCTTTCTGTTTGGCAAGTTCCATCAGTTTCTGATTCCGTGAGACCGTGCTTCTTCAGGGAGCATCTCTAGAAGGACTGAGGGAGATCAGTGTGTGGCTCTGGTGTCTACGGTGGGAGTAGTAACAATAGCAACCCCCTTTGTCTTCTGCCGGGCATCACAGAGACAACCTCTGCAGGGGCACCAGGCCCAGTGCTTGGCACCCACACAGCAGTAAGCAGAAGTGCGTCATCTGAAGCAGAAACCCTAACATCTGTAAGAACACTTGCACTGTGGTATCACGGATTTCAGTTTCCTTGTTGGGTGTCCTTGTCTTTTTTCCTCAGGAGCAACAAGATCAGTTTCCACTTCAGAAGGTCCTAAAAGTGGCAGCTACCGAACGGGAGTTTGGCAACTATCTTTTCCGCCAAAGTCGTTTCTATGATGCCAAAGTGAGGTATAAACGGGTAAGGATGCTTCACAAGCATAAATTTAGGGGCACCTGCCTGGCTTAGTCATAAGGGCACGCAACTCGTGATCATGGGGTCATGAGTTTGAGCCCCAAGTTGGGTGTAGAAATTACCAAAAATAATAAATTTTTAAATTTAGACCCTGAAAATGGTCTTTTTTTTTTTTTTTTCTTTGAGAGAGAGCATGGGGGCCTGGGGGCGGGGGCAGAGAGAATCTTAAGCAGGCTCTGTGCTCAGTTAGACGTAGAGCTCAGTTCCACAACCCTGGGATCATAACCTGAGCCAAAACCAAGAGTCAGACATTCAACTGACAAAGCTACCCAGGCATCCCTGAAAATGTTTTTACAAAGTTATTGGGGTGCCTCGATGGTTCAGTCAGTTGAGTGTCCAACTCTTGATTTTTATTTTGTATTTTTTTTTTTTGGCTCAGGTCATGATTTTCGCCTCAGTGTAGAGCCTGCTTGGGATAGTCTCTCCCCCGCCCTGCCCTATTCCTCCTCCTCCCCACTCCTCCCCAGCACATGCAAGCAAGCACCTTGTTGCGCATGTATGGCTCTCTTCCCATCTCTAAAAAAAACAATCTAAAAACTTTTAAATGTTCTTGTTCTTATTTTTCATATGCAGTCTTTGAAAAAAAAATCTCATTAAAAAATCCTCATGCCAGGAATAATGACTGAGAGAGGGGACATGGGATTTGAGGAGCCCAGTAATGTTCTGTGTTTGTGTCTGGATGTGGTTACGTGGGTGTGTACAGACTGTGAAAGGTTGTTGAACTGTCCACTTGTTTTACCTGTGTGTGTACATTTGTGTGTATTTCAGTAAAAAGTCTTTAAAAGTTCTCATTCCAGGATTAGGTCCTACCAACTGATTTTCCATCCCGCTTGCCATCTTCATTTCCTGTCTCTCTGACGGTGGAGCTTTCTCTAGCTCTCTGAGGTGACTCCATTCTCACCAGGCTTCTGATTGTGGTTTGGCTTCTTGCATAGGTTATGCTGACAGGAATTCACTGTTTGCTTTGTAACTCATTCAACAAATACTATAAGCATTTTCTGTGTGCCAAACTGTGCCCTAGGTTCTAGAGGCGAGTCTAGGGGTATTCTGATTTTCTCTCATTTGCGAAGGGAGCCTAAATCAGTCAGAATTTGTATTCAGCTGTAAGCAACAGAATCCTGAAAAACTTAAATCTTCAGATTTAATTTTTATTTAAATGAGAAGGGAGGCAGTCCAAGGGTGGTAGATCAGTTCCACAAAGCCATCAGGGATTCAGGTTCCTTTTGTCTTTCTGCTCCACTGCCCTTAAACATCTCCTTGTCTTTTTCGCCCCGAGATGGTCCTTCAACCTGTAGCATCACATGGTCACCTGGGCAGGAAGGAGGGGAGAGGAGAAGAGTGTGGTGTGTTCATGTTAAGAGCTCTCCAGAAGTACTCCCTTAACCCGGTGACTTTCGTTTTTATATCCTTGGCCAGACCCATATTCAGCGGACCCCATTGACTGTAGGAAGCTAGGAAATGTAGTTGGTGTACCACTGCTTTGGGTGACGTAGAGGCTCTGCTAGAGGGGGAGGGAGATCGATATTGGGTAGGTGGCTAAAGGTATCTGCCATGTTCGGTCTCTGCGTATTGCTTGAGAGAGACACGGAGACTGGAGAATGCGTGTGTGTGTGTGCGCTTTCAGAATGCTGATAGAATCAGGGTCCTAAACGTGGAGGGTATAGGCTTGGGTTCATAGTTGGCTCAAATCGTGGATACTATTAATGTTGTAAAGTTTTTTGAAACTGAGCTTGCTCACATGGGAAAGAACTTTCCAGTGAACAGACCAGTCCTTCCATTGTTAGTCCTGTTTCCCGGGTCTGGTCCCCTGAGGTGATCCCTCTTTAAGCCTGTTTGCTGCTTTTTCTGGCATTGTGAGTTGATACTCGACATGCTTTAGTTCCTGTTTTTAACATCTCTTGCTTCTAGTTCTGGAATGTGGATCTCTAATTCCCGCTAGGGCTTTCCCTCTGCTCTCTGGTGTTCTGGTTCAGTGTTCTTATCCTGGGCTGCCCTGTGGTTCTGTTTGTGGACTTCCTGTTGTTTTTCTCCACTTGCTCCCTTGTGCTGATAGAGCACATCCTTACGTTTCAAAAATATTCTTGTAGTTCACACTTAGCAGTTGGCATATGGAGTATAGAATTCTAGGAATTCTAGCATGCAGCCATCATCCCTCAGATTTTGAAGAATATTGTTTGATTCTAGCTTTACAATGGCTGTCAGGAAGTCTGGATAAAATTTAGGTTCCTGTACCTTTATATGTGGCTTTTTCTTTTTTTCTCTGTAAGGATGTAAGGATCTTTCTTCCTCTAGCGTCATTAAAATTTTACAGTGGTGTTTGTGTTTTTTAAAATTTGTTGGTATTGAACCCCTGGTGCATCTTTCAGGAAACCTGTCCTGTGTTCTGGGAAACTTCCTTCATCTATTTCTTTGGTAATTTGCCCTTGTTTCTGTCTTCTCTTTTTTGGGACTCTTGGTTGTCAGTCCTCCTGGATTGAGCCTCAACTTTCCTTTTTTTCTGTCCTTGCCCATCTCGCTTTTGCCATCCCACTGTCTGGGAGCTGTCCTGGACTCTATTTGCCATCTCATCTGAGGAACGGTTCATTCATTTGTTTTTGTTTTTGTTTTTTTTTAACTTTCCCCAGCATTGTGTTCTTGTTTCACGCATACATCAGCTTTTCTTATGTTTTGAGTATTGGTTGTAATTTTCTTCTCTCTGCTTTTCAGATTAAAAAAAAAAAAAAAAACTCCATTCTTTTTCTGCCTGATTTTTTTTTTTTTCCTGCCCATTGGATATTGTCCATTTGTCTTAGGTTTGGTGGTAGGTCCCAGACTCCTATCATTAGGTCAGTGATACTGTTTCTTATGTGAAAGGCTTGAGGTGAGTAAAGCAGGGCTGGTTGGTAGCTGTGCTCTGTAATGGTTTCCGATGCTGAGCACTCTTCCATCTCTCTGTGTTCCCATTTGTAGGGCAGAGCTCTGGGCCTTGTGGTTGAGAATGGTGGCCTCTAAATTCCAAGCACCGGAGGGAAAAGAGAGGGCTGAGAGTATGAACCTGTGACCCTCACACTGAGTGATGTTTTCCAGAACCTTGTCTTTTGGCTATAACCAGCAGCTGCAAGGAAAGCTAGCAAATTCCTATATTCCGATTGCACGTGTGCCCAGCCAAAAATCCTGCTACTATGGGAGAGGGGAGGACAGCCACTGGGAGACAGGAGGCCGTCTCTTCCATAGAGGCTTTCCTCAAATGTCTTGCAATCTTCGTCTGCCCATTAGGATGGGAAAGAGGCATCGGAAGTGCTTGGTAGGGCACGTCGCAGTGTGCTCACTTGGCCTCCCACGTGTCTCTGTTCACTTGTTTCCGCAGGAGCCACTCTGTTCTCCATCGCCTGCCTGTGTGAATGCCTGGCTACCAGCGTGCTGGGAGCCGCCGGGAGCCGAACAGGGGAACGGGACAGAGGGCCTCTCCGGCTGTTAGTGAAACGGTCGTCTAATACCCGTTACCAGTTTACCTCCCTCCTGCCCCCTGCTGTCCCTGAATCGAGAACTCTTTTGGTTCTATTCCATTTCTCCAGAAGATAGACTCCATGATCCTGGAGGTGGTGGGGAGGAGTGGCCATCTGGATGCATAGGGACAGGGACTGAGTGGCAATGTTCAACGTGTCCTGTTTATTCAGTTCCACTTCTACAGTAGCTCTGATGGCTCGTTCTGTCAGTTCCTGGGGCTCTGAGCTGCATACTAGCCCCTTCTTTATTGGTGCTCCCTTCTGCTGGGTTGGTCAGACTCTGCCATCTGTTCTGACATGTTGGGCTTGTTACCAGTTCTCTTGTTCTTTGTTCTTGTTGGATTGTGCCTTTCTGTTCCACAGGGCAGGAGAGACTAAAAGGTGAGTGTGAAGTCTGTCTTGCTCAGCCACAGGTTTTGCTACCTGCTCATGATAGAAATGTTCTCCGTCTTCAGAGCAGGGAAATTGGTGTTGATTGAGTGCCATTGTTCCCAGCCTTTTGCTCAGCTTCATGTGGGATGTGCCATCTAGGCAGGGTCCTTAGCTTCACGTAATGGTAACATAGGTAGGGAGATCAAAGGTACTCCCAGTGACCAAGAAATCCCTGTAGTATCTAGTACTATAGCCTTTCAGAGGAGGAAAATCTTTGTGGGCTAGCCCATCTGGTAGTGGTTTCTTGGAAGCAATGGCACGGTAGCTGAGTCTAGAAGGATGAAATGGCAGAGAAAGAGGCAGAAGATAATTCTGGGCAGGAGAAAGGATGAGCAAAGGTGTAGAAGTGAGAAGAGCCTGTTCAAGGGCCAGTTGGTGGTCACTTAGTCTACAGCACAGGTTACATTTGGAGAATACCAGGAAAATAGAGTTCAGGTAACCAGATTCAAGAAGACCTTAAAATGTGTACGGATGGGTCTGGACTTGATGAAGAAGAAGGAAGGGGAGAGTGAGGTTATAAAAGTGATATTTAGGGAGGACGTGAAGGTTGGTAGCACGCAGATAGTGTGTAGGAGCTCGTGAGAGCCAATTGTAAAATGGCTCAGGAAGTTTTACGAGCTGGTTAATGTTACTTTGGCCGCTTGAGATCGGCCAGGGTTAAACTGTTTACACCACAGGAATGGGCACACCCTGCAAGGCACCCCTTCCCCAAGAGCTGATTGTTAAACATTTACCAGCACACCACCATATGCAGGACACGTTGAAGGGACAGACTTTTGTTAGTGAATTTTCCATTCCACGTGAGGCACTGCTTCAGGCGTGTTGCAGCTAAGCCTGTCACGGGGATCCCGGAATGTGTTTCAGAAGGTGGGAGTTGTGCAGATAAAAGTTTTGGAAATATTTTCAAAACCGAGTAACTAGACCTGATGATGATGTTTTATGAGTGACAAAGGAAACCAAAGAATAGACTTGCTTGAAGCTTTCTCATTTGAGAAAAATTTTTAAACAGGAATAACTGGCAAAGAGATGTATTAACTTCAGTTTCACTCACTGGTGAGAACAGCCAGATAAAGGTGGCCTGTAGAAGATGGTTTCTAGGTGGCAGATTGTCCCATGATTCTGTTTAGGAATGGGGCCAGAGTTTAGGGGACAGATCCAGGTCGGTGATAGGAGACCTGAAGCAATTCAGAAGGTGTGAGGGCAATGGACAGAAACTTCTGTGACAAATGCCTGGGGCTTGGAGATGAAAGGGGAGGCAAAAGAAGGCTGGTGGCTCTGTGCCTCCGGCACCATCTTGTCTGATGTGTTTTCCAGTTTGGCTGTCGTCTTCCAAATGGGGTCCTGCCTGTGAGTCACTCTGACCCTGCTCAGGCTTTGTCTTCATCGCTTTTCTTCCTTTGCTATTGTTAGAATTCACATACCATGAAGTTTACACTTTTAAAATGCAGTTTAGTGGTTTGTCGTGTATTCATAAGGTTGTGCATCTATCAACACGACATAATTCCAGGTTGTTTCATCACCTTGAAAAGAAGCCTTGTACCTGTTGGCAGTTCTTCTCCTATCCCTCAACACCCCTTGATCGCTCCTATTTTGCTTTGTTTCTATGAGTTTGCCTATTCCTAGACATTGTACATAAATAGAATCCCCAAATGTGTGGTGCTCTGTGTCTAGCTTCTTTCACTTAGGTGAACTTTGAAAATATATTGCTATGTTGTAATGTGTATTAATACTCTGTTCTTTCTTTAAAAATTTTGTCTCAATTTTGATAAAAATGTGCAAACCTAAAATTCATCATTTTGATTATGTTCAGGTATGCAATCCAGTGGTATTAAGTACATTCAGTATTGTGAAACTGTCATTACCACTGCCCATTTCTGGAACTTTTCATTATCCCAAACATTGTTTAGCTATTAAACAGTAACTCCCCATTCTCCCCCTCCTCCAGCCCCAGTAATCTTTATTTCTACTTCATGCTTCTCTGAATTTGTCTCTCATGGGTACTCATATAAGTGGAATCCTACAATATTTGTCCTTTTGTGATTGGCTTCTTTCACTTGGCATAGTATTTTCAAGGTTCATCCATGTTCTAGCATATACCAGATTTCATTCGTTTTAAGGTTGAACGATATATTGTGTGGATTTAACTGGGTTTTGTTCATTCATCGGTTGGTGGACACTTGGGTTGTTGTTTCCTCTTTTTGGCTACTGTGAATAATGTTGCTTTTACATTGGCGTACAAGTTCTTGTGTAGACCGAAGTTTTCATTTTTCTTGGGTTTGTGCCTAGGAGTGCAAGTGCTGGCTCATGTAGTAACTCCCTTGGTTAACTTTTTGAAATACTGCCAAACTATTTTCCATAGTGGCTGCAACATTTCACATTTCACATTCCCACCAACAATACAAGGGTTCCAGTTACTCTGCGTCCTCACCAATGCTTGTTTTCCATCTTTCAAATTATAGGCATCCTAGTGGGTGTGGAGTGGTATCTCATGATTTTGACTGCACTTCCTGATAACTAAAAAGATGTTGCCCATCTTTTTATGTGTTTATTGGCTATTTGTAGGTCGTATTTGGAGAAATGTCAGTTCATATTCTTTGTCCATTTTTTTTTTAACGTTTGTTTATTTTTGAGAGACAGAGACAGAGTGTGAGCAGGGAAGGGGGCAGGAAAGAGGGAGATACAGAATCCAAAGCAGGCTCCAGACTCTGAGCTGTTGGTTCAGAGCCTGACACGGGGCTTGAACTCCCAAACCATGAGATCATGACCTGAGCTGAAGTCAGACGCTTAACCAACTGAGCCACCCAGGCGCCCCTTCTTTGCCCATTTTTAATTGGATTTTCTTCTTATACTTACAAAAGTTATTTATATTGTCTGGATAGTAGGTTCTTCTTAAATATGATTTACAGATATTTTCTCCGATTCTGTGAGTTGTCATTTCACATTCCTTTTCTTTTCAGGAATGTACAAGTGTCTTTTCATTCAAAAATACAAAATCATCTATAGGCATACACAGTGACATCAGTAAGCCACTGTGTTATTAGTTTAAACCAGTAAATGATGGTTATAGTGACTTTTTTCAGTCATTTTCTTTGTTTTCTTGATAATATCCTTTGAAACACAAAAGTTTTTAAACTTGAAGTCCAGCTTATCTTTTTTATGTGTGTGATTTGTGCTTTGCATGTCATGTCTAAGAAACCATTATCCAAAGTCAGAAAGATTTATATCTGTTTTCTTCTAAGAGTCTTACAGTTTAACTCCTCCATTTAGGTGTATCATCCATTTTGTTAGCATTTGTGTATGTGTGAAGTGGAAATCCAACCTCACTCTTTTGCATATTGACAACCAGTTGTCCCAGCACCATTTGTTGAAAAGACTACTCTTTCCTCGTTGAATGGGGGTGGTACCCTTGTTGAAAATCCATTGACTCTACACAAGTGTAGGTTTGTTTCTGGACTCTCAATCTACATTCTCCATTCCATTCTTTTGATCTGTATGTGTCCAAACCACTCTGGCTTGCTTACTGTAGCTTTGTAATAAGCTTTGAAATTGAAAGTGTGAGTCTTCCATTTTTATTCTTGTTTTAAGTATTGTTTTGGCTACTTGACATCCCTTGAATTCCCATGCAAACTTTCAGATCAGCTTGACCATTTCTGCAAAGATTGTTGAAATTTTGGTAGTGGTTGCTTTGAATTTACGTATCAACCTTGGGAGTATTGTCTTCCTATTAAGGCTTATGATCCATGGACAGGGAATGTATTTCCATTTAGGCCTTTAGTTTTTTCTTTAAAAAAATTTTTTTTTAACATTTATTTATTTTTGAGACAGAGAGAGACAAAGCATGAACGGGGGAGGGTCAGAGAGAGGGAGACACAGAATCTGAAACAGGCTCCAGGCTCTGAGCTGTCAGCACAGAGCCTGACGCGGGACTCGAACTCACGGACCACGAGATCATGACCTGAGCCGAAGTCGGACGCTTAACTGACTGAGCCACCCAGGCGCCCCAGGCCTTTAGTTTTTTCAACAGTGTTTTGTAGTTTCCAATATACAGTTCTTGCATTTTAAATTTATTGTGACTTCATTTTGATGCTATTGTAAATGGAGTTGTCGTCCTCATTTTTGGATTGTTTATTGTTGGAGTATAGACTTACAGCTAACTCTCCTGTGTTGATCTTGAACTCATTTTTTTTTTTTTTTTAGCTCTAATACATTTTTTTTCTGGATTCTTAGGGCTTTTAATAGCAAGATTACATACGTCCTCTTGACTACCTATTTTCCCTGTCCACAGGCCTTGCTGCTGCTTCACCGGCGGTCAGCACCCCCTGAAGAGCAGCACCTGGTGGAAGCAGCCAAGCTTCTTGTCCTCCTTAACCTGTCCTTTACATACCTGAAGCTGGAGCGGCCCGCCACGGCCCTGCGTTATGGAGAACAGGCTCTGATCATTGACCGGAAGAATGCCAAGGCCCTCTTCCGGTGCGGACAGGTGTGTTGGAGGGCAGGGACTGGGGAACGAATGCCCAAGAAAAGGTAGTGGTGATGTTCAACTTGGGCCCTAGAAAAACACTGTCTTTCCTAACCAAGTGTGTTTTTAAAACTCCATCCTTTGACAGGCCTGTGTTATCATGACTGAGTATCAGAAGGCTCGAGATTTTCTAGTCCGAGCCCAGAAGGAACAGCCCTTCAATCATGACATCAATAACGAGCTGAAGAAACTGGCCAGGTGAGACCTCTGTTTGCGGGAGTACGAACCAAAGAGAGAGAGATGAGCCTTGGGGCTGTGGTTCATGTCTGTCCACCTGGCGAAGGACTATTTGGCAATGTTGTGTGGAGCGTGTTACAAGGCAGTGCCCCCTAGAGCTGGCTTTAAGAAGTGCTAAACCAACAGCTCCCACTGAGGAGCCTGGGACAAACTTCAAAACTGCAAATCCAGATCCTATCCCATCTCCCTATTCCCCACCCCTTACCCCCAAAGTAAGCACTCTATAACAGGCGGGCCAGTGTAATTTTTTGAAAAGGTCTTGTTCTTCAGATACTTTCCCCTACTTGCCACAACTGAAAACCACTGTTCTTAACAGAATGCAGAAATGTGTCTTGTAGATCCTGGTTTGATCTGCAGTGGATCTTTCAGGTCTAATTCATACCCAGAGGGTGGCTTTTTGTTGTCCAAGTAATATCAGTACCAGTCTTTCAGTAGTGTAGCTTTTTGTGATTACAGAAGTTACTTTCAAAGTTTTCTACTTTGACTATATCAACATATAAATAAGAGTTGTCCATAATAATCTGTCTAGTTTCTTCGGTATTATTTTTTTGTTCTTCTCTACTGGTAAGATTCTCTACTCCTGTTGACATTAAACATTTAATCTGGATTGCTAGTTGAAGCCCCTTGATGTTAAAAAAAAAAAAAAAAAATCCTGTGTGCACCCCTTACACTTGAATCCATTTGTTGTATTTCAGGCTTTTTAAGACTGTCCAGAAATCTCTTTTCTGATTGTTTTTAAACTGAAATATTTATTACGTAATTAGACTAAGTTCTACACCCAACATGGGACTTGAACTTACAACCCGGAGATCAGGAGTCACATGTTCTACTGACTGAGCCAGCCAGGCACCCCTCTTCTTTGGTTTTTAAAAGTATCCTGTCCCACCTAGGTGCCAAAAATAATAAGTGTATCCTTTGAAGATACTTACAAGTCCGATGTAGAAATTTTGGAATCTGACCATTATTTAGCAAAGAAATCTCAAGATAAATCTGAGGTCACCGAGTATGAGGCCATTTGGGAAGACTCAGCCTGGCAGCCCTTACAGTGGCTCCAGCCTTTAAGGTTGTCATCTTCTCAGATTGTGGGCTTCAGGTTGTCCATGTGCTTCTTAAACAGCCCTTCCCTGGGAGCCTCTCCTGGTTCCCCTACACGTCCGGCTTCCATCGCCTCCAGATTCAGTTCAGGGCTTGCTGAATTTTCAATGTTTCTGGACCTGAGTGGAGTATTCTAGCCACCAGATGTCACCTCCTACAAAGACAGACTTTCTCTAATGTGTATTTTTGTCTCCAGCTATTACAGGGACTACACGGATAAAGAGAAAGAAATGTGTCACCGAATGTTTGCTGCTTACGATAATGGCTCTACAGTAGGAGAATATTGAAGGTAATCAAAGGGCTGAAGCATGCAAGGCTTCAGGATTTTGTCCAGTATATGGAAGGATGGTTGTTCTCCTCAGCCCACTAGTGAATAGTGGCTGTCTACAAGTGAGTATAGATGGGAGGGGTAGAAAGTTCCTGTGGGAAGCTAATGGCACAGTGACTGTGTAGAGTGCATATACCATAGGCCTTCTCATGAAGATGATCATGGTGAAGATTGGAAAGTTCCAGAGCTGGAGATTCAATTTATAGGTGGAGGCGGTCTTAAGCCTTAAAATTAAAAACTTTTTCCATGTTTTATGTTAACCTTTCCCTCCCAGTAGCTCGGAACATGAAACTGTTGAGTATAGTCATTAATGTGATGGTTTATCTGGGCTTTGCAATGAAGAGTAATGCCCTTCTTAATCTGTTTTTTCCTGGAAGCCTCCAGCATCACTTTGTGTCTAACACATTGTTAAGACAAAATCCAGATGTTGGGCAGTAGGGATGAGCTGTGACTCTTAAGTTCTGCTTACTGTCAGTTGGAGAGATTTGAAGGTGTTGGAACCACCAGGGATCACAACCTAACTTTCCTGCTGCAGCAAATGCCTTGTGATTTAGCAGGCACAGGGTTAAGGTTCCCCTGTGAGTTCATGAGATAATTCTCTAGTCTGGCTTACTATTACTTAAGAAAATTAATGGAAACAAAATCACCTGCCTTAAACACCTGCTTTGCTGGGTAGATAACTCAGCTCTCTTGAGAGAAGTTAAACAAGGAGCAACAAGAAAACAGCTGCCGAATGGGCTCATGGTAATAAATCTCTCCTTTGTTGCTACCTACATCTCTCTACAAAAGAGATTGGAGAGAAGAAGGCAGTGAAAAGGCCTATTCATCCCAGACATTTTCACAAGTGATCTAAAAGCTGTTGTTCTCTGCCCTGTCAAAAACAACCAGTCGGTATCAGAAGTAAATGTTGCCTTTATCACAAGCTCTGACCCAGTGACCCTGGCCTTTGGGTCTTTCGGGGACATTGAAGTATTAGTGGGTTTTCTGAACTGAGACGTGAGCCAGAATACTTCTCCTATTTGGCTACTGTTAATGTCCAGCAGGAAGAGAGGTTTGCTGGCTTTTTGCCAGACGTTTTGGACTGTCGTGTCATCTGGCATGTTGTACCATTTAGTGGTCTGTCCTGGAAACAGATCTTGAGAAATCCAGCAGGGCAGCTCCTCATCGTTGTCTCTAACCCCCCAGCTTTCTCCGTCTCGAAGGTGTTTTGGACCTGATGAGTTTTTAGATGGTTTCCCAGATATTCCTAAGTTTTGGGTGTTTTGTCAAATTAGGAATGACTGTGTTTGAGTCTAAAATGGCCATTATTGGGAGGCCTGGGTGGCTCAGTTAGGCATCAGACTTCAGCTCAGGTCACGATGTCACAGTTCGTGGGTTCGAGCCCCGTGTAGGGCTCTGTGCTGACAGCTCAGGGCCTAGAGCCTGCAAAATGGCTATTCTTGTCTTACTGCCACTACTGTTGAGATTGTGACATATTTTGGCTTTTCGGTCTTCAGCGTTCTATCACTTAACAAGTTTTAAGATTCTTTCGACAACCTAGTTTTGACACAGTTGGTTCTTGTTTTCCAAGATGTTAAATACTAGTGATCTGTCTGCATCTTGTCTTATAAGATGTTGGTCCTCCTGGTGGAATGAGTGTTCTCTTAATTACAGTCTCGAAGTTTCCGCTTATAACAGACTACATTTTTGGAGATCAGAGACCGTGTGTTTTCTGTCTTTGTATTTTCTAGTGTCTGGAAGCTTGCCCAGCACACAATTGGCACTCAGTAAATGTTGGTCGGATCAAGTGTAAAATAGCCGAAATGCTAAACCAGCCTTTTTGAAACCATATCCTCCAAGCTGGCTCTTGTATTGGCTGTCAGGACCCTCATTATTGCCAGTGACAGAAACCTGTCTTCAACGAGCATCAGCTAAAAAAGAGATTTGCTGAAGGGATTTGGGGCACTCACAGAATCGGAGTTGAACAGCCAGTACTTGAGCAGGTGGACACCTGCGGTTCTGAAGGCCTCAACAACTTTGTCTCCTCTGCTTCATGCTCTCCTACTGTAGAGTGCCCAAGTGTCCTTTCGCAGCCTTTCTATTTGAGAGCGGGCTCTTCCCTACCCCCACACCTTCCTCTTCTTCCTATACCAGCCAGGGCTCCAGCTTGAAAACTCCTGAAGCATGACTCTGGCCTGTTACCGTGTGTTGAGTCCCACGAGTGGCTCCCTTCCTAGCGTTGCATAGTAGGGCGGGGGAGCAATGACTGAAGCAGGAAAGCCACATGTCTCAGAACACAAAGGGGAGGAAGGGGAGGGGCAGATTCGAGGGAAGATGCCCATCAAGGGTATTTAGCTGTTGCAGCTCTCACTGTTCTGCGGAGTGTGACTTCTGTCTCACTGTAGCGGAGGCAGCGGGTTGAACGAGGCATCTCTTTGCGGCTGCTGCTCTGCTGGCATCTCCACGGTGCAAAGGAGCAGACACGGCATTGCCGTTGCGGCACCCTTTTTCCTCTGGGTGGATCTCCAGAGGGTATGTCGACCGCACACGTACTTCTGGATGGGCGTATTCTTGGGGTGATCTAAGAGGTCAAGATGGAAGTCAACCTTTCGACTCCTGCACTTTGGAAGGCCTGAAGGTTTATAGCAAACCCCGAGCTGGTGTATGATAAGCTGTTTTGAAGCTGCAAACAAACCTGTGGTTTGCAGTGCAGTGGCTGCAGTGTTCCTGCACGTGTACTTAACAGTGTTCAGACTTTGACAACTGGACGTTTCCTAGCTACCTACTTGGTGGAGACCTCCCATAGCTCCCTCCTGAGTACTAGTGGTTTCACCGGGGCCACCAGAGGGCTTTTATAACAGGTGCCGACCTAGCTGGAAACACTTGGGGTAGGGTTCTAACCTTTTTCCTAGTTCTGTTTCTGTGCCTTGTGTTGCTGTCTTCAGTTAGAGCTTGAGTGTGTCCTTCTTGTCCTGACACACTAGCAGCATCTGAGACCGTTGCCGTACTTCTATCGTGTCTGGAAAAGAGATGTAAAGTGAGCACCGTAGCTATTTTCAGCTGTTTAAATGGTTGACCTAAAATAGGTGAATTCAGGGGTGCCTGGGTGGCTCAGTGGTGTGTTCAATTCCTTATTTCAGCCCAGGTTATGATCGCAGGGTCACGGGATCGGACCCAGCGTAAGATTCCACACAGAGCACCCCCCAGATTCCCTCCCTCCCTCTATCTCTGCCCCTCCCCCCTCCCTTGTGCTCTGTCTCTCTCAAAATAAATATTGTTTAAAAAAATAGGTGAATTTAGGGACAGTGTCACCTATGCTCCCTTTGTGTGATAAGAATATTACTAACTGAAAACCCAGTGTGTGTGTGTGTGTGTGTGTGTGTGTGTTTGTTTTTAAGAGCTTTTGTTTTCCCTACAATTTATAAATGCCTTTGTTTTTGTTTGTTGAACTGTTTGCCTTTATCCTTACCTCTTTAAAACTCTAGTACCAGGGGTACCTGGTCAGTTAACTTAACTTAGTTAAGTGTCTGACTCTTGATTTTTGGCTCATGTCGTGATCTCATGGTTTGTGAGTTCGAGCCTCTCATTGGGCTGTGTGCTGAGAGCACAGACCCTGCTTGGGATTCTCTCTTTGACCCTCCCCCACTTGTGCATGTGTTCTCTCTCAAAAAATAAACTTTAAAAATCCTACATATTAAAACTCTGTGATACCATTTAGTCTAGGACTTCCCTTTCTTCTCAGGGACCTCCCTCTTAGAAATCTCCCATTTTGTGTACCAATCCGTTGAGAATGTTCCATAGGCCTGATGCATAACTGCCATTCTGGGATTTCTTTTATCTGCTGGGCTGAATCCACTATTTACTGGCTCTCTTTTCTTGGTTTACTTCCTTGTGTAGATATTCTCAAATAACATCCAAAAATTGGATGTATAATAGATAAATTTTTCCACTCCTTCTGTGTCCAGTTCACACTTGATTACACACTTTATAGCTTGGTATAGATTTTAGAACGAAAAGAATCCCCTCCCTAGTTAGAACCTATCCCCCATTTCAAAGCTCCCTTCCTCATTAGAAACGAGCCCCCTATTAGGACTTGCCTCCCACAGTAACTATCCTCACCCCCAGACCCCACTTACAAGATCTCCACTCTAAGACTGTGCATCCCTCCCGACTTAGCCCTCACAGCTTTCCCCTCAGGCACATCCACCCCCAGTGCCACTCCTGTCACTAGTCCTGCCCCTTCTCAGAGCTCCTCCTCCTCAACTCCAGATGCTGGTAAAAATGTATCTCTGTATTTTTAACTCCTCTAAAATTTCAGTGTGTGTCCAGGTGCCCCCAGATGCTCAAGTCCTTCACATAGGTACCTTAATTCTAGAGGTTCATGTTCTTGAGAGCTAAGAAATTCTTCTATATTTCCTTAATGACATTTCCCCCCTTCTTTTTCCCTCTCTTCTTGTTCTAGGACTCCTGTTGGTTGGATGTTAGACCTTCTGCAGGGATCCTCTATATCCTTTATGTTTCTTTACATTTTTTAAAATATTTATTTTTGAGAGAGAGTACAAGCAGGGGAGGGGCAGAGAGAGAGAGACACGGAGACACAGAATCTGAAGCAGGCTCCACACCCTGAGCTATGAGCACAGAACCCAATGAGAGACCATGGAACTCCCAAACCATGAGGTCATGACCTGAGCCCAAGTCGGACGTTTAACTGACTGAGCCACCCATAAACCTTTACGTTTCTGTAAAATTGTCTCTCTTAACTCCCTCACTGCCCTGCCTCCTGCCAGGAAACATACCTCATTTCCAACTCTCTCCTGTTGGCTTTTTTTCATTTCAGCAAATATTTGAAACCACGAGATCTTTTCAGATTTCCCTCTTTTATAGTTTCCCTCTCTCTCTCCACCTTTGTATTATGAAATATCTCAAACTTAGACAAGTAGAATAATAGGATTTCCCCCATGTATTCAGCATTCAGGTTTA